CAAAGCAAGACAGGTAGGTATTAAAAATATATCGGAACATCTTACAATTACCAGCCCTACCAGTGGAAATAAAATCATGGCAATGAAAAGTAATAAAGGTTATTAAAAGTTAAGGCCTTGGAGGCTAAGAAGTCATGTTAGACTGTCAATTGTTTTCCCCACGGTGGGAATTCAGTTAGAAATTTTTTTAAAAATCTAGTAGTTTAGTTGTGGTCAAAGAAAGAGTCAGTGGGGATGGGGAGGTTTCAGCAACATGCTGGTAGAAAAAAAGAGACTTACATAGTCTGGGAGGGCAGTGAAATGGAAGGCGTGGTAACCTCGCTCACTTAGTTGTCATTTTTGATTTTCAATGACATTTTTTTCATTCTTTCGCCTAGTAAAGATGACAGAAGGTCCTAATTTATTATCTGACATCTATTCCTGTTTCTAGATTTAAGAGCGTTTAACTGTATACAGTCATATAATCCAAATACAGACACTTTGAAAAAAAACTAAAGCACTGATGTTGCATGCATTCAACTATATTTATAACTGTACCCACAAACCCGAGATAAGGACCTGGCAGAGAGTCAGCTCACACAGCCTCCGTGACTGGGGGAGAGAGAGGTGGTGGATCTACAGGGCCTCAGATTAAAGCAGTAGAAAGAAGGGAGTAGATTAAAACAAATAGCTAAATTCTTCCTGAAATAATACCAGCTAAGGGTTCTAGAAGAATGTAGAGTTGAAGTCCTCAGCATGGCTCTGCATATCCAATATACACAAACAGAGCTGGTCAAAATGCACATCACACGCCACGATAGTCTCTACATTAGCCGCCTTCTGCTGCTGAGGTCAGGATGCATTTTACATGAGAAAACTACAGTGGACACTTAATTAACATGACCTGGAGGTCACTGGGGCGTGACTGGAGGGGAGATAAAGGTGCAGTGGCAATCTGTTTCTGTATGTAAATGGCACCATGGCCAGATCAGATCAGGCAATGCCACGGGTCTCTGACATTTCCTTCCACGGCCACGATCTGGGTGCACTTCATTCAACATGTGTTGGGCCAGCATGCTGAAGGTGCTCAGGAAATATTTATGAATAAATAAATGAAGAGACCACATAAATTTAATTCCATGAAGAAAACCACCCAGATGGCAAAAGCCTTTGCTTCTACAGCTGATTCGTACATTTTAACGAGCACAAGGGAGCACTGAAAAGAAATAAACAGAAAAGACTTTTCATAAGAGCAAAAGGAAGGGGTCAAGGGAGAAAGAAATGATACTGGGGAAAAAAACCCCAAACAATTTAATGCCAAGTCATCTCCTGGCACTGCAAATGTTGGTCAGTAGTAAAATACTGAAATTTGGAGTTTAGTTCTCTAGTGGCGGCTATCATATCTGTTCATCTGGCCTCATCCCAATACTTTCCTACTCTCATGCATAACCTCAAGTAGGTTCATTAATAGGTGTGTGATATTTATTCCATTTATTTTTAAAGAAACTATGTCTGGAGGAAGTTTAAAGTTAAAAGGTGTCTGAAATTTAGCCAGGATTATTCACAACATGAACAATCAAAATAATGTTTAGTTAGTTTCATAGGTATGTATTCATTGGTCTACATTTATTTTGAAAACCAAATCTTCAAAAGACATCTATGCTATAACAGGTTGTTGTTATTATTATTATTATTATTTAGGAAGCAGCAGGATAGAATAATTGTTCAATTAAAATGGTTAAAAATTAGGGTACCAGTAGCATAAAAATGTTGATGTGTGGCTTCCACCTTTCGGGCTCCCTTTACTGTGAACTAATCCCACTGTAGGACTGTTTATAGCGGGCTACTGAAACAAGAGCACAGGGAAAGGACAAAGGAGTTCTGCGCACCGTCTAATCAGTATACAACTCCAGGTAATCCCACTCAGAGAAACACATACTTGAAGTAGTAGAGAGCCACATTTTTTACTTTTTCAAGGTCAACCCCCTAGCCTGAATGAGAACCTGTCCATGCCAGTCAACAGGAAGCCAGCAGCTGCTTCTGGGGGGGAATCTCCTCCAAGTTCCAGGCCCACAACACAACACATGTAGGTAACGGTGGACCAAGTTGGCCCTGGGGAGAGGCCCATACCGGTCTAGATGATCTGGCTGTGTTCTCTGCCTAGCATGTCCTACATATGGGTATGTCAGAGGAAATGTAAGAATTTTGTGTGAAATGGACTTGGCAGTGTTTGGTGAGAGGTTATTATTTAGGGTGTTACCTTCTCTGAAGTTATTAGTGATAAGTAAAAATCTCAAGTCTTTTGATGGCAAGACCCCAAACCAAATTGGTTGCTACTCTGAGCTGCTTCTGCTTTATTTGATGAGAAGGAAATTCTGATGTTGATGCTGATGTACCCATTGCAGAAGAGCACCTACCAAGCAATTTGTGAAATTAGTCTCACTTTTTAAAAATTAAAATACTCTTCAAACAAGTTAAATTGTTCGACAAAAGCAAGCCCCATGAAGCACAGGTGTTTTCAGATGCATTTCATGCTCACATCCCATTCAGCATTAGGACGGAGTTGCATGGGAAGAGTGAGAGCACCCGGGGCTACAGGCTTCTGTTTGGAGGCAACTTCCATTTTCTGGTTCTAAGGAGAAATGTTTGGCCATGTGTTCCTCCTAAGGAAGGCCTGCAAGAGCCGGCTGACCTAATTTAAAATACGAGCTCTTGCTGAGCTCTCATTGCATGAACCTCTTCCAAGGATTAGCTATTTTTTTGGTTCGTTCAGTTTTTATTTCATAAAAAGTCAGCCCATCTTTCTCCAGTCCTAGTGACCTGCATTCTCTCCTTCCCCAAAGCACATCGCTTCTCCCGCTAGCCTCTGCCTTAATCACTTTTATTTGTGGGACACTAGGGAGGGAATGGTAATGCTTAGAGTAGGAAAGAAAATAACTTCTTTTTTAAAAAAAATATCTTCTTATTATGATCAAGTTTAGATGAAATATGGGGCTTGCCATCAACAAAATTACAAAACAATTCCACTGGGAGTCCAGACCGTTCAGGGTAATTCATCTATGAAAAAGCGAACTTTAATTGTTACTCTTGGCAGCAATCTAAGAGGAGAGTGAAATATTATACTAAATATTGCCACGTGCAATAGTAAAGCGCTCTTTCCTCTTTGCCAGGAGCAGTGTATAGCCCCCTTCAGAATCAGGTCTGGATCTGGCGATTTAGTCTAAATCCTCTGTTTCCCCCTTTCCAAAACCAACAGAGGTTTCAAAAGAGTTGCGTGGTTTTTTTTTTAGTTTTTTATTTTTATTTTTATTAGAACCATTTGCTCTTTCTAAGTTGCCAAAAAGGAATAAGTAAAACTAAGACTTTTATTTGGGCTAAAGTTGATTCCTCAGCTTCATGGAGGTCAATGTACTTAGTCTGTGAACCTTCTGCTAGGAAGTTCATTGCAGTGTTGTACCAGCCAAGGTTATGCTTTGGTCCCTTCTTCTCCCCTGAGCTCCACCCTCCAGCGTCGTACATTTATAGAGTAGGAGCTGGGAGCATGTGGAAGCTAATAAAAATGAAATACACATGTGGCAAAATAACTGAATTTCTAGAACAGAAATTTCAAATAGTTTTGATGCTGCACATAACAATTGCTATTTTGGGATCAAGGGTCGTGAATTGGGCTTCAGAAAATGTGATCCCAACAGGTACAACTTTTTAGATTAAAAGCTCATTGAACACTGTTATGTTATACAGTTTATAAGCCTGGAAAGGTGTTCGATAATTCTCAAAAGCAAAGGGATATTCCTGTTCCAAAAACGGAGGGGAGTCTTCAATGAAGATGTTAATCAAAGAACTATTCTATATGGTGCTGGTTACCTGGTATATTTATAGGCTTTGGCAAACATGAGGCTATAATAAACTACTTGCAAAGAATTTTAAAATTACATTCTACATTTCCAGCATGAATATTTGTATACATCAGGTATAATTCACTAAGGACATAGTAAAATCATATGTAAGGTTTCATATGTAGATAATATTATTCAGCTTCTAAAATGGTTAAGTTGGGGAAGTTAGGGTCCAGAAAAATAAAATGATTTGCCCAGGATTATTCAGCATGTAACCAGTGATATGAAGATCAAATGCTCAATTTTTAAGTAGATATTTTCTATGCTATGAGATGCTTTACATCCATAGGGATATATAATGATACTAAGATTATTTGGGAGTAAAACTAAGTCTGTAGATATGACAAAAAGTAATCTTTATTGTAACTTAAGTTAATGGATTAAAATTTAGGTCATCTGAAACCTGAGTAAACTGAGTAAACTTTAGGACATCTGCTTTATCTAATTATTTTCTTTTTATTATAACATAAGTTATGAATGACAACAAGCAAAATGGCTATCGACAGTGAGACAGTTTGAGGAAACTATAATTGCTATCAGTCATGGGGAACATAGCACTTATTATATACTATGCACAATTTCATAAAGACTGCACATTTTAAAGCTTCATAAGAACTTATAGTTTATATAAAATAATGTCTTAGAAGTATGCCTGTTTTTCTGTTTGTGGAAGTTGAAAAACAAAACAAAAACAAAATGCATAGAAAGCATGGCCTAGCCACTAACAGTGCTACACTCAAGTAAACAAAATATACCAATTATTATTTAAGTGAAGGTAAATAACTATAGAAGGCGAGGAATTTTAAATACATGTTACAAACAGCACTCAGATAATCAATGACAGCAAATAAACTAATGAGGAACCCCGTAGGTGACTATACTTGGGAGCTGGTTATCTGTTAGGAAGTTGACATATGATATGGGAAGCCAAGGAAATCTGCCTTGTATGTATCGTTTAAGTCTTTGAAAAAGAACCTGCCTTTTATTTATCGAAAGATCAAGCTCTCTGTGTGTCAGTACAAAATGTAAAGTTTCTTTTGAAGGGTTCTACTTCCTGCTCTCCATTTAAAATGGGGGAAAAATAAAAATATTTTGCCTGTGACAGAATATGAAAGAAGTTCTCACCCTTAAAACCAGCAGCATTGGTTTTCCAGTCATTAGCGTTCAAATGTCCTGCACGGGAAGTCCTGACAATAACATGCTGCACGTCTCTCCAGGTCAGAAACGGACTGGGGAAAGACAAGGTAAGAATCATTGTACCAAAAAAAAAAAAAAAGATGGGGGAAGCAGAGTCACAAGCAAATTTAAAAAGCGAAAGCAAAATGGCAGAGTACTAAAAACAAAGGGTCAGCGATTTGGGTTTGGGCTAAACAAATGCCAAATGCCGCTCCTGTTCTCAACGTGGAGACGTGACATTAGTCTGAGGGAGGCAGATAACATAACCTTCAATTTAATAGATAATGTGATATTAGCCAGTGTGATTCAGTGTTTGAAAGGGTGAGGATTTCCAGTTGCCTTAAGGTGGCTCCCAATTCTGGCCCTACTGTCCTTTGTGTAAAAAGTTGCATCATCAATTGGAAAATTACGATAAGCTAAAGTCAAAGCTGAAGGCCTCTGGAACATTCCTCGTTCAGATGTATAGCTGGGCAATTAATTTGTAATTTAACAAAGAACTTAGCAACGTTTAACACTCTGCACGTATGTGCGGGATATGGAAAAATTGTCAACTAAAATCAAAGCCCCATTTTCAGTTTCTTAAAAGAAAATATGGTACGGGGCCGATGGCCGGGCCCCCAGGCACAGACAATGATGGGATTATTCTGAATTTGCAATAAGGAGTTATAATATGAAGTGATTGGGTACCTATTTCTCGTGGCTGTTAGCACTGAAGGGCACAAAGAAACTATCGAACAGAAGATACTTTCACTGGAGAACTGCAATGCTAATCTAAACACACAGAAAACAAATCCAAGTACACACACACACAGACTCTTGTGTTTCAAAGAACAAGTAAATACTGGAAGCACCAGACTCAGTGCAGGCATGAGATTCTGATCCTCACGCTTGTTCAATTTAGTCTTGAACGTGAGGTGTGACAATCTCTTACTTTACCGGGAAATGTGACAATCACCATGCAGCTTGTGCAGTTACCTTCTTTCTTGTTTACCACCTTCATTTTAGAAGGATATTTGCAAAGGATGGGTCAGAACATTTGGGGGAGGGGAGACAATGACTCACTACATCCCCTGAGGTGTGACGGGCATGTGGTCATCTCTGAGCCCCGTTATATGCACACAGATGGACACTGGCATCTCGGAGGCAGCAGGAGAGCCTGGTGATCTAAATTGTAGCTAATCTTCTTATTTATTTAATTTTTCAATGACAGTTGACATTAAGTATTTTATATGAGTTTCAGGTGTACAGCATAGTGGTCAGACAATAATGTAACTTATGAAGTGACTCTCCCCAACAATTTAATGGCGCCTAATTTTCAGTGCTTCACTTTATACTACATTTTCTGCGTCACGACCACCACATATGTGTTTTTGTGGGTGGTCTCCTAATGAGAGGGAGCCCAATGTTCAGACTGCCTCCTTCATTTTCTACCTATGTGAAACTGACTTCTCCAAGTCTCCCCACTTAGAATGCGGATGCTCATATCTGCTTTTCTTCATCGCACCGACTGAATAAAAGTAATGCCAAACTTAACCTAGTTCCTGGTGCATAAGAAGCCACGAAGAAGTGGTAGACAGTACAGTATTTTGCTAAATCACGAACCACAGCTCCTACTTGGTGGCGTGAAAACGAAAGAGATGGGAAGAGAAAAGTACATAGAGTTCTGATACCTATTTTTTTGATGACCTTAGATTACAAATGAAAGGAGAGTTATGACTTTGATTTTCAAAGTTTTCAGAGAGGGGCAAGATTGGATCTAGACTATTTTGTAAGGTTGCATTAACAAAAGAACTTAATACGAAGGAAATTAAAACCCAACCGCATGAATTTTTAAACTAGGAGAACAAGGCAAACATAATCATTTTTGTTTTGTTTTAAGACAATACTTGTTAGGAATCAATTTAGAGCCTGACAAAGCACCGAACTCTGAAGAAAGGGAGGGAGGTTGTGCGATGGATCCCTGGAAGCAGGCAAGTTCTGCTTCTAAAACAAACAGCATGATGTGGCCCTTTGCTGACTAACACGGAGTCCACAGAATAAATCAGCAGACTCACTACTGCGATGAAAATTAGGGAATGAATCAAGGGGTAATTCTGAACGTTAGTCTCAACGTAAGATGTTCTAGCTCTGCCTGAGATGTGAAGCCGACCTCCTCTTTCCCAGCACAGCTACTGCGTGAGGGGAGAAGTAACAACAACAGTTCAGTCTGGAAAAACATTCCAGCCACTTATTTATGGTAAAGCAGAATCGGTGAAAATGTGTTTATTTTTTTCATGAGCAAAAGGCAAGATACCTAAAAGTATAGTAGGGTTTGATAAATATGTCTAAATTAACCTAGTGATTTTAAAATATCATTTAACACACAGTTAAAACTTCCATATTTTAAATCTTTTCCCTTTGGGGGAAAAAGAGAAAAGAAACAAGCCTCCCATGTTTCCTGCTCGCCAAGACAAGAGTCCTCAGAAATATGAAGTACAAGGTTTTGACTTTTGGGAACTTTAGCCTAAAAATATAATAATAGTAACAGAACAGGGAGCCTTTCTTTTTTACCTTAAGCAGTTGTATTCAGGCAGATTTGGGAAGCCTTCTGCATTCAACTCAGCCTGAAGAAATAAGAGTTACTTGCTCTCATGCTGAGTTGCAAAAGCTACTTCTTGGAGTGCTTATAATTAGAGGGAAGAAATTAGCTTCAGGAAATTGGAACTACACAGGGAATGAAGCGGGCATTCAGATAATTCTACTCAGAAATGATTTACTTTCTGAATAGGACATACAACTTCAGAAATAATTTAATTTCAAAATTTCCTGAATTTCACCAAAATAAAGTGAGGAAGATAATACAGAAAACCAGTGGATTTGAAATCAGTGGGGTATTTTTTTTTTTTTTTTAACCTGTGGAAGGGTAACCAGCTAAGGAAAAGGCCAGGAGGGAATCCGCTATCCTGAGAACCTTTATTTGCAGGGAAGTCTGGTCTGTGTTTTGTAACCTGTGTCTATTTATGCTCACAGGGATGATGGAGAGACGAAGTCCAACTATCAGACATCCAGTAAACCACATACAGAGTGAAAGCAGAGACATGCTAGGAAACCTGCAGTTCACAATGATAATGTGAGACTCCCTAAATTATACCCCCTTTTGCCAGTTGCCCTGGACCCACGCTTCATGGGCCTCTGAAAACCAAGACCCTTTCACCTCCAGGAACAGGAAGACTGACCGCACCAAGAGCTTTGGGGCCAGCAATCATCTAGAGGCTGAAAGTCTAACAACATGGAAAAAAAGTGCAGCTTCTCTCCACCCTGAGCCTGGTGACCACTGGCCCACAAGAAGTCACAAGCAGTTATGGCACACATCTCTCAGGTTCTTCTTGGAATTACTGACAATTACCCTTAAATAACAATATACACTAAAAGGGTAACATTTATAAATGCCTGCAAGATGTGACCTTTCAAGGCAATAAAACATAGATAATTTTCTGGGGAGTCTTGTATGGGTAATCTTTTCCTGTTAGGAAGTTTTGCATCTTTTAAGGACCTTATAATAATAACCATCATTTAGCAAGCACTTGGCCAGAGCCAGGTACTACATGTGGTACATGCATTACTACTGCGTAATCTGAAAAACTGTATGATATAGGTATAATTTTCATTCCCATTTCATAGATGACAAAACCAAGGCTTTGAGTTACACACGCTAACTCAAGTACATACAGGTAGTAGGTGGGAGCGCTACAATTCAAATTGGCTGTCAGTCACTATTTAACACCGTCTCCAGGTGGACCCTCACAGGCGGGACAGGCATACACTTGGTGGTCTGTCAGATGATTCTTTGACAGTTGGGTCAGGAAGCCAAGTGTGGCATATCATGTTCTCTTGGTCACACAATTTTTGTACCTATACTATCTCTCTCAACTCAACTTGGCTGATTTGTACCATAGAATTAAGGAAATTCTTGAGTCTTTATTTCTTTTAAAGTTTCCAAAAGTCTGACATGGGCACACTCCATCAAAGGTGAACAGAAAGATATCACCTAGGATAAGCCATGTAATTTTTATAATATGATATTTTATACTTATACCACATCATAACATTATTCTAGTATTTCCTAACATTCTTGTGAACTTGTCACCTTGCCTGATATGCTCGCACTTTGATGTGGTTTACAGCCTGGTTAGGTAACTCTTCTCCAGTCAGGGAGCCTCTACTGAACCTCATCCCAAATACTTCTAGTTTCCAGCTGCAAAAACAGGGTAATTCACGACGCTATCACTACCTGGTATTTGCATTACATTTTTGTTCTGAGCAGTTCACAGTATTTCATGGGCCCAACAGTAGGTTTAGAAGAAGTAGGATGTATCCCAAGAGAAACATTCTGTCTAGCTCTTCTTGCTGGGCTTCTAAGTACCACTGCTAGCACTTAAATTAAAAAAAAAAAAAATCACTTCCTAAGTTTCCCCAGATAATTCTGCACAATGTGAGTGTTGGAAATAAATCTGCACTTGCTGGTACTTAAGAACAAGGACCATTCTGAATCTTGAGTGACTGACTCACCTGCATTTTTTAAAAAGAAAAAATAACTAACCTTCCCCTCACTCTCCCTACCCCCTGATGGATTTATCAACATAAGCATTTAAGGGGCAACTGAGAAAAAGGACAACACAACTACATCTTAGTACAGAAAGAGAATTTATCAACAAAAGGAGTGACAGCAAATCCTGATATTGAAACTGTTCCCTAAACAGGGCCATCTTTAAATATAAGCGTGACTCCGTCTAATGCAATGGTGAGCAATTACGTGGACCAGAGCTGCGGGGAAATTGCATGACCAATTAGCAATTATCCAAATATCCAACTTACTAAATATTCAACAAAATAGCCAAGACAAAACCAGTCTCTTTTTATATTTCTTAAGACTGTATAAAATGGAAATGGGAACAAGTAGCCAGAAAAATAATATCATTGTATAGACGCTAAATAAGTCACTGTTTGTGGTTGTGAGCTGGAACAACCAAGATGAGGCAGAAAGTGTTTAAAGCCTGCTGAGATTGGTAAAAAC